AATATAGGCATTAGGCATCAGAAACAATGATACAAAGAAAGTATAAAGAGAATGTTTTGACTGTCTGTTTCTCATTCTGCTCTATGTGGTTCTTGAGGTTGGTTCCCCCTGGGCAGCATAAGACCAGACCTGTACCAGCTCCCAGAGGAGCCCAGTGAATGGGCTCTTCCCAATGGCTCAGCTGTTCGTCTGTGGTTCGCTCTGCAGTATCAGCAGGAGAGAGAGCAGCTGGTGGTGTCTCTGCTCCGTGCTGCTAACCTGCCCGCTCAGTGCCAGGGTAATGTCACACTGGTAAAACTGCAGCTGTTGCCGTCTGATGACCGACGACACCGTCAAGCCAGAGCACGACGGAAAGGTTGTCATCCACAGTTCAACGACACCTTTGTGTTTCAGGTAAAGAGTCTCTCCTGATAAACATTGGCAGTCTTCGTCTCTCTGTATGTGGGTACATCATCAATCTTCCCCATTATATGGAAATACAAGTGCATTTAACTAACGTTTCTTGATTTGTTTGTGAATTTATTTTCAAAAATATGTTTGTTTTAAATAATGGAGAAACTTTTTGAAGAAATTTCGTAGTTGATGTCTCCATCTACTGGCCATTGCAAGCAGGTTTCCCGAGTCATTCCTCTGAGCATATTCTGGGTTCCGTACAAGTTTGTGACAAGCTGATAAACAAGCTGCTGACTATTTAATGTTTATGAAATCTGTATAAATATAAATAAAATGTCTCTTATTCTCAACAAGACTGCATTTATCTGTCTAGATACAGTAAAACAGAAATACTGTGAAATATTATTCCAATTTAAAATTCATAGTGTCTATTTAAATATATTTTAAAATGTAATTTATTCCTGTGGTGGCAAAGCTGAATTTTTAGCATCATTACTCCAGTCTTCAGTGTCACGTGATCCTTCAGAAATCTTTCTAATATGCTAATTTGCTGTTCAACAAGGTTATTATAGTTAACTAGAACTAAAACCATAAAAAAACTTTACAGACACTTTAAAAAAAATTATAATAAAAGTGACAAAATCACAAAAATACTCAAACTTAAATAAATAAATACATAAAATATAACAAAACAAAAAAAAAGAATTCAAACTATTAATAAAACAATCTGCAATAGTGCTGAAATTTTAATCTTAATATTTTTGGGGAAATGGCAATACATTTATTTCAGTAAAAAAAAAAAACAGCATTTATTTGAAATAGAATTGTTTTGTAACATTATAGATGTCTTTACTGTAAGTTGATCACTTTAATACATCCTTGCTAAATAAAGTATTAATTTCTTTAAAAAAAACAAAAAACAAATCTTGACCCAAAACGTTTGAACGGTACAGTCAAAATAAGGCCTGTAAGCTGATTCCTATGCCTTCTAACAGGTATCTAATAGCTGTGTCGACCAGTGCTCTCTGAGTATGAGCATGTACACTGTGGACCATCAGAAGAAGCACCATCTTGTAGGTCTAGTCCTGATCCCACTCAGATTTTCTGAACTGAAGGAGATGGCAGGCAAAGTGCAGTGGAGGGATCTGGACAGTGAAAGTGATCAAGTATGACACTTTAATATTAAAGGAATGGCTTACACAGACATTCAGATTCTGTCATCATTTACTCACCTTCATGTCTTTCCAAACCTGTGTGAATTTCTTCTGTGGAACACAAAATAAAAATTTCAACAGAAGAAAGAAAGTCATTCAGGTTTGAAATGACATGAGGGTAAAAAAACGACAATTTAATTTTAGGGTAAACCATCCCTTTAATACATTTTTGTGGAAAGAGTGCTGTACTAATGTGTTCTTTTTACTGCTGTTGTAGCCCCTTTCAAAAAACGGTGACATCCAGGTGTCTTTGAACTACAATCAGTCTCTACACCGCCTCACTGTGGTTGTTCTACGAGCGCGAGGTTTGCAGTGTTGCAGTGATGCAGGTGAGAAACCGAGCAATAAAGAATACAATACAGTGACAAGCAGTCTTTGTGCACCTTTAACTTGAATGTAAAATGGATGGTACAGGTGTGTGCGCCCAGGTCTCTCTGAAGATACATACTCAGGTGGTGAGGAACAAGTGGACCACTGTAGCGAAAGGAAATAATCCATCCTTTAATGAGAGGCTTACCTTCAGACTCCTCCCCATGCAGCTGGACACAGCCTGTCTGACCCTACAGCTCCAGCAGCCCAGCACAGAGGAGCCCGGTAACTGTCAATCAGTCCTTTCCAAGAAATAATATAAGAAAACAAAGTATTCTTTTAAATTAAAAATATTAGAGGGAACCAAAATGAAAGTGTTTAAAAAAACCTCCAATAAAAAACAAGGTTATTATCATTAACTAATACTATTAAAAACACCTTTGTTTATTGAAATACAATTTAATTAGATGGAAAAACTTACACTAAATGAAAATAAGAAATGTTGCCTAGGTAACTAAGAGATTTAATTTTAATTTGCACTACAGTTACTAATTGAAAAAAAAACTGATCTATAACTAAAACTGGAATAAAAATAAATTAAACGTAAATAGTAATATTTTGAAGAAAAAAAAACTACTAAAAAATGACAAACACATACAACAAAAATATTAATAAAAACTATGATAGCATATAAAAAATACTAAACCCTATTAATAATAATAATACCATACCCAAATTTGATTGATCACAACTGGTTGACTGGTTACAATAAAATTTTTTTACACAATTTCTGAAATATTTAAAACAAACAAATATTAATGTAAAATGAATAACACATATTAAAGATTCTGCACTATTTCTAGGTCACTAATTAAATTGATATGCTGATCATGGTAACTTTTCAATTAAACTCAATTTTTTCAAAAGTCAAATTTTTATACTGATATTATAATATGTGACCATGGACCACAAAACCAGTCATAAGGGTCAATTTTTTTAAATTGAGATTTCTACATCATCTGAATGAATAAGCTGTTTATTGAAATACAATTTAATTAGATGGAAAAACTTACACTAAATGAAAATAAGAAATGTTGCCTAGGTAACTAAGAGATTTAATTTTAATTTGCACTACAGTTACTAATTGAAAAAAAAACTGATCTATAACTAAAACTGGAATAAAAATAAATTAAACGTAAATAGTAATATTTTGAAGAAAAAAAAACTACTAAAAAATGACAAACACATACAACAAAAATATTAATAAAAACTATGATAGCATATAAAAAATACTAAACCCTATTAATAATAATAATACCATACCCAAATTTGATTGATCACAACTGGTTGACTGGTTACAATAAAATTTTTTTACACAATTTCTGAAATATTTAAAACAAACAAATATTAATGTAAAATGAATAACACATATTAAAGATTCTGCACTATTTCTAGGTCACTAATTAAATTGATATGCTGATCATGGTAACTTTTCAATTAAACTCAATTTTTTCAAAAGTCAAATTTTTATACTGATATTATAATATGTGACCATGGACCACAAAACCAGTCATAAGGGTCAATTTTTTTAAATTGAGATTTCTACATCATCTGAATGAATAAGCTTTCCATTGATGTATGGTTTGTTAGGATAGGACAATATTTGTCTGATATACAACTATTTGAAAATGTGGAATCTGAGGGTGCAAAAAAAAAATCAAAATATTGAGAAAATCGTCTTTAAAGTTGTCCAAATTAAGTTCTTAAAGCATATTACTAATCACAAATTAAGTTTTGATATATTTGCGGTAGGAAATTTACAAAATATCTTCATGGAACATGATCTTTAATGATTTTTGGCATAAAAGAAAAATGGATAATTTTGACCCATACAATTTATTGTTGGCCATTGCTACAAATATACCTGTGCTACTTATGACAGGTTTTGTGGTCCAGGGTCACATATGTAATTAGAAATTCTTTAAAAAAAATATAATAGAAATATACTGTTTCATTCCCCATTCACCAGTGGTCTTAGACATAACAGTTATTTTAAAGGCACCATTATAATATACCTATGTATCTGTACTCAGTCACTATATTTTGTCTTTACTGGCAGTGTTGTTGGGCATTGTGGTGATTGGGCCGTTCATGTATGCGAGGGGCAGAGAGCTGGAACACTGGAACGACATGGTCAGCAAACCACAGGAGCTGGTCAGGCAATGGCACCCGCTGGGATCCGCTGACACAGTACAGGACCCTCAATGAACAACATGCTACAAACTCAATGCCACCTCCCTCCTCTCTTTGAAAACAATGGTAGCCTTTTTTCTTATCTTTAGGGTGGAAGTGTTTTTTTTTTCAGTACAAAACTGATGTCAGAAAATCAAATGGAATTAAACAAAGTCAAAAGAAAAGGTTTATTGATAGCATACATTTGGTGAATGAACTTTGTGTTTAATTACATTATTTTAAATAACGGTTTGCTCCTCAAAGCCCATCAGAACAACTGTGTGACTTGATGCAGGAGGTAAAAATACAGTCCAGTTGTACCATAGGGTTCTCACAATTTTAACCCACGGATTTCCATTTCCATTCCATTTGTTTATGAATAATGGATACGATTTTTGTTTCATTTGGATTCAGATTGATTTGCATCCATCCATCCATTCTTCAATCCTCTTTTCCTATGTAGGGTCACAGAGATTGATACTGAATCGTTCAGACCAATTTGTGAACTGGTTTGATTGATTTATTGAAAAGAATGATTCGCTCACAATTTGGACATACACTACCATTCAAAAGTTTGGGTTCAGTAAAGTTTAAAATAATAATAAGCATTAAACTGATCAAAAGTGACAGTAAAAAAAAATATATTATATAATGTTACAAAAAGTCTATTTTAAATAATTTCTGTTCTTTTAAATTTTCTATTTATCAAATAATCCTGAAATGTTTCTTGAGCGCCAAATCAGCATATTAGAATGATTTCTGAAGGATCATGTGACACTGAAGACTAGAGTAATGGCTATAAATTCAGCTTTGCCATCAAAAGAATAAATTGTATATACGGCCTTGGTGAGTATAAGAGAAAATTCAACAATAAAACACTTACAGACCCCAAACTTTTGAACAGTAGTGTAGCAAGTTTTCTCTACACAAAAGCACAATCTAGTCACACAATATTAACATTCTCTTAATAGTTCCACATTTTTCATGTTTGTGGGAGCACTGCACACAGTGTGAAATCCCCCACCCCTTCTGGGCCTACATGCATGTAACATGGGCATAGGCCAATTTAGCAGGGGTTTTCTACATGATTATTCATGGACATCAACTTTTTGCAGTTATCAATTTAAAACCCAATTATGTGTAACACTGCTTAAATGTAGCTCATTAGTTAAGCCTGCTTTCACATGGACTGTGTTTGGACCCAAAGACTGTAAACATAAGTCACGATTCTCATCTGTTAATCTATTTCCTTTGGTGCATTTTGCAACACGGTTGCATATTGTGACCTGGGTGCGTGTAGCTGCTCTGACCCTGAACACTGGGTCTGGATAATCTACTACTGTAAGGCCTCTTATGGACTAATCACAGAGTTCAGAAAGGCTAGCAGATTGCAGCTCGGCGTCCACCTGTTCTCATGTTCTGTGTATAGCCAGCGTAGATCTGTAGGACTTTTTAAACTGCTTGGACACAACATGTCTTGTGACCTGGCTTGTGATTTTGGCTCTCGATTGGTACTCTCGGGTTCAGACGTGACATCTGAGCAACTGGAAACTGAGAGCAATTATATTCTATGTTTGTGCTTTCAGATCCATTCTTTATTATGAATGGCTGAAATTAGCTCCTTAAATATCGGGACGTGGTTTACACCAGGTCACCTCAGACGTTCATTAATATTCTGAGTCCAAAAGCACTACGATGAAGCCTCACAAGAGGGTATGAAGCACTGCTGCCCTCAGATTCCTGTTTCTCGGTATGTTCTTCACTGAGCATTTGATAACTTTATACAATTTGGGGCAGCTGACTAGGTGGGCAAAGTTCGGTAAGCGGTGTCCAGTCTGGTGGCCGTTTTTTGCACCCCACAGCATTGTGGAGCACCTTCGAAGCACTTCTACTGCCACAGAGTACTGGCCGTTAGTCCACTGTTTCAGCCTGACCACCGTCACAGCTGAAGAGAAGCCGAAAGAGTACCGTGAGGTGCCACGGAAAACCCGCTCCCCCTCGCCAAAATATGCCGCTTCCTCCCAGGAGAGCATGGTGCCATCTTCTTCGCCCATGTCGGCCAGGTTACAAAGGGCCAGAAGGCAAGAGCTCAGCAGTGCCTCGTTCTCACTGTACTGGAGAAGAACCGACACCAGTCGTGGGACAGCTCCGAGCCTCAGGAATCGCTCCTGCTGCAAGTCTGGCAAGAGAATAATCTCTTAAATCCCAACGTCAAGGGTCAGCATCAAGATACAGATTGCAGACTGAAAATCTGTGATTTATCAGAGGGATACTGGACCCAAAAATGAAAATTCTGTCATCATGCCTCATTTTGAAGAATAAAAACAACATTGAAACCCCTTTAGCTTTGTTGGATAGACAAAAAAAGAAAAAGAAAAACACTGATGACAGAATTTTCAATTTTGGGTAAAGTATCCCTTTAAAAAATCTATGATTGTATTATCTCTCTTGATGTTTGCTGAAACGGATAAGGTAATTTCACTCAAAATCCTGCCATTAAATTATGTAGAGTTAAATATTATCTGACAATTTTCACACACAGCTTTTGCGCACTCCACTTCTCGTGAACGCTGCCTGTTCCAGCAAAATCACAATATGGAAAGCATCCAAATACACTATTGTTGCCAATGACAAACTGATGCATTCTCATAAGCTTTCAAATGTGAAAAATTGTAACTATTTTCTGAAACTACACATCTGAGTCACATCCTCTCAGATTCAGAATGCCTCTGAAACAGATCAATTCAGATCAACTGGGGGTTAATACCTTTGTTATGGTAAATAGGGCGCTACAAATGTCTTTCTGAGTCTTACTCAATGACATACTAAAGTATGACTAATGCTCTCACATCAGTACCGCCATTAAGACCTGTGGTTAGAAGAACAGGGCAAAAGTTCAGGTTCACTCACTGCTGTCATAGCAAATCCTGGCGATGGCCTGGCTAACGTGAAGGAGAAGGTCCTGGTCTTGGCTTAGCAGTAAGGTCACAAGGGCAGACACAATGCCTGTCTCAAAGCATTGCTCTCTCACAGGAGCTAAAGAAAGATGGAATTATAGAATCAATAATCAGTCAATACAGTCAATACATAAGTATTAAGTTAGATATCAAGCTCCCATTATTTGCAAAATTTGCAGTTTATCCAGTGCAACTTATTAGAGAAACAAACCCACAAGCAACCTGAGGTAATGGTGTAGGTCTCGTTCATGGATCATCTCTTGAGTTCAACCATTCGTTTACAGCGCAGCCCATATTCTTAACCACAAAGCTACACCAACAAACACATGCATTATGTATGTATACATTTGTTCTTACCATCTCTGGCCAGTTCAGCTACCAGTCTGGCAGTGTGAGTAGTGAGTGTGCTCTTTCTTCTTAAAATCTGAGCCAGAACAGGCAGAATCCCACTTTCTACCACCTGCTCTGATATGCCTTTCTCTAGGACAAGAAAAACATATTGCACAAAGCTTGGTGTGAGTAATATGTACAGTATTAATGTTTTTAAAAGAAGTGTCTTATGCTCTCTAAGTCTACATTGATTTGATACACAATACAGTAAAACAATAATATTGTGGAATATGATTACAATGAATAACCATTCTCTACTTTAATATTTTTTTTTAAATGAGAATTATTTCTGTAATGGCAAAGTTGTATTTACAGCACATGAACTTTCCAATATGCTGAAAGAAAAGGTAATTTCTCATTAAGAAAAAGTCATTTCTTAATATTATGTTGAAAACAGTTGTGCTGCTAAATAATTTTGTGGTAACTGTGACATTTTTCTAGGATTCATTGATGAATACAAACTTCAAAATACTTTTTTTTGTAAAATTATAAATGCCTTTACTCTCTTTTTGTTGATCAATTTAATGTGTCCTTGGAGAATAAAATTATTAATTTTAATTGTACTGACCCCAAACGGTTATGAATATATATCCCATCCCTCTGAAAGTACAACAAATTGGATAAATTGTGTACATCATGCTAGCTAGACCATTCTTATCCAGTTGTCCTTAGTGAACATACGCACAGATTAACAAATGATGTTTCCACAAACTACAGAAGTCGCTCACAGCTGGCCACCTGGTTGCTTGTGTACAAAGGAGCAGTCTGGCTAATCGTTCCTGTCACTCAAAGGCTCTCACAGAGACAAATGCGGATTAGAGCGTCTCTGTTTTCAAATCCACAGGAGTTGTGTATCCTTCGCACAGCTATCCTTGTTGATGTATTAATTATGATTTCTCACCTGTGCTCGGATGATTTGTGATATGTAGGGGATAACACACAGTCACTTGTTCATTATTGCAAAATAAACCTCACAGGGTCTTGTATCATTTCAGTACATAATCAGACTGTACATTATCCTGCTTTTTACACATCAAACATTGATTTAAGTTTATATTATTTGACTATGTGAGAATAAATTTAACGCAAAGTGGATCAAGAGACAAAACCAGCATAGCTATGAAAGAAACCATTTGCTTAGGATGACAGCAAATATTACCGTTTGGAGTTCATTATGCAAAAATATTCAACCTTAGAGTGTTGCAACTGACCAGGCAAAATTACGTTTTCCAGAGAGACACATAATAACTTATGATAGTAGCCTCGGTCAGGTATAGCCAAAGTGTAATAGCAATACGCACTAAGCAGCTTTCAGAACTCACTCAAAGTGCTGGCACATTCTGCATCTAACTAGCTGAAACAAGCTCATACCAATTGACAACAGTTTCCGTTTACTTTAAAGAAACTACTTTATAAAGGCATAATATATTAAGAGATGTCACAAGATATAACATCCTGTGTAATGATCAGAGGGCCTAGTTTTTGTTACATAAGCACTCAACTAGTACTATGCATGTCTACATGAATACATGTACACTCTTGACTTCTCCAGTCCCAAACAAATAATCTAAATCTTAAATTATATACAGTAACAAAAACATGAAATACTCACTTCTTTCTATGGCAACATTGAGTACTGTGTCCAAATATGGCTTTAGTTCCTCCTCGACAAGTTCTGTGCTCACACTGATGGCCTCTATTGCAGCACTTAGTGAGTCTGAGAATAGAAAA